TCTGCGGCGACGTCAAGCGTGGCACTCGCACGAGTATGACGATCGCCATGGAGCCGACGCAGCAAAGGAGAACAGAGCTTTCTGCTCGGCGACCCATCAGACAGGGAACGCATCCCCCAGACGTTCTGCACGCTGACTATCGAAGGAGCGTGACTGCAGGTTCAATCAAGCGTCAGCCGAGTCGCGCCCCTCAAGTCTTGCCACAACTAGCAAAGTCTTTTCAAGAGCGGCCCCAGAAACATGGCTTTGCCCAAGTCGTCTAGGCAGGGCAGCCCCGGCTCGCCCAGCTCCTACCCAAGACGCCTAGCTATCCAAGCTTTAGGCATAGCACGCCCAGCGCCATCTGCTCTGGTGGGCTTGCCGCTCGATATCGCCCACTCACGTTCGCTGCCGTCCTGTCGACAGAGGTTCGTTCTGCCAAAGTCATCCAATCCTTCGCCCTGGTCATTATCGATAGCTTCCTTTTCCCATGAGGACTCCATCGGTCCCTTTGACCTCCTGCTAAGCGGATCCAGTTGCATCATGGCCCTCTCTCGGCATGTCCACTTATCCACCATGCATGCTACGTCCAGATGCAAGCCTCATCAGTCACAGACCCTGGGCATTCTCTGCTGCTCCTCTTGTATCCAGGGCGTGCTCGTGTCTTTTCTTCTCGCGCTACTTCCCAGAGATTCGTTTACCCTGTGACAACAGGCTTTGAACTGTTCAACCGCCGTGTCAGTTCGCTGTTCACGCCCTCCCAGCACATCACCGCCCGACATCACATGCAGCCAATCCTGGATGTGGATGATAGAGTGACATACTATTGTCCCTGCGTCAAACGCGTTGTTCGCTATCGCAAGTGGCGTTGAGCTGAGATCGAACCGCGACACAAACCTCCACTACAAATACTCGGACCCGCACCAGCGAGGCATACGAAACGCCATTTGGATACTCGTTGAAAAGATATGGCGAACAAAGAGATAACCACGGGCCCCATCGATGCGGGCGAGCTGCGCAGACACAGTGTCGGCACCGTTGAAATCCAAGATGCCCAAGGCCGGCGCAGAACTGTGCAGCTGGATGAGCTGAATGCGGCCGACAGGGCGCTCGCCGAGCAATTTGGATACAAGCCGGTATGTGGGGAGCTCAAGGCGGCAAACCCGGCGTTCTGGTTCTAACTATAGGCGAACAGGTCTTCAAACGTGAATTCGGCTATCTCTCCACCTTCTCCTTCGCGGTCAGTATCTCCGGCCTCTTTGCGACGACGGCAACGACGTTCATCTTTCCGCTCGAAGCCGGTGGCTCCGCCTCGGTCGTGTGGTGCTGGCTCATCTCGGGTGCCGGCTGTATGTGCATTGCGCTGTCCGTGGCCGAACTCGTCTCTGCATATCCGACCTGCGGCGGTCTGTACTACACGGTTTCCCGCCTGGCACCGAAGGAATGGGTGCCGTCCATCAGCTGGGTGACAGGTTGGATCAATCTCCTCGGCCAAGTCGCGGGTGTCGCGTCCTCCGAGTATGGATCCGCGCAACTGCTCCTGGCCGCCGTTTCCATCGGGCGCGACTTCAACTGGTTTCCTACGACGAATCAGACTGTGGGGGTCATGGCCGCTCTGACTGTGCTCAATGGTCTGGTCAACTCCCTCTCGACGTACTGGATGGAAAAGATGACCAAGACCTACGTCATTTATCACTTTGGCGTTCTGATTGCTTGCGCAATTGCTCTTCTGGCCGTGACCGACAACAAGCACGACGCAACCTATGTTTTCACCCACGTTGAAGGAAACGCTGGCTGGACACCGATCGGATGGTCTTTCCTGTTTGGCTTCTTGTCCGTCTCCTGGACCATGACTGATTACGATGCCACAGCGCACATTACCGAGGAGTAAGTACAGCTGCTCTGAGATGGCACGCCGAAGCTAACAGCCCCACAGAATCAACGAGCCCGAGATCAAAGCTCCCTGGGCGATTTCTATGGCCATGCTGTGCACCTACGTCCTGGGCTGGCTCTTTAACATTGTCCTGTGCTTCTGCATGGGGGATGCCGCTGAAATCCTGGCGTCGCCAATCTATCAGCCCGTTGCGCAAATCTTCTACAATTCTCTCGGCAAGGGCGCCAGCATCTACTTCACGGTCTCTGCGTTCCTGATTCTTCAGTTCGTCTGCTGGACCGCAACGCAGGCGTTGGCAAGGACCGTGTTTGCCTTTTCCCGCGACAAGCTGATTCCCTTTTCGAAAGTCTGGGTTATCATCAATCGATGGACGGGGACCCCGCTGTATGCGGTCTGGATCAGCGTATTCTGGTGTATCGCCATCAACCTGATCGCCCTGGGATCGTACATCGCGATAGCAGGTGTGTTCAACGTGTGCGCCATTGCTCTGGACTGGTCGTACGTCATCCCGATCGTCTGCAAGCTGGTGTGGAGAAAGTTCGTGCCTGGTCCGTGGCACCTGGGCAAGTTCTCTTTGATTGTGAATGTGTGGGCTTGCGTATGGACGCTGTTCGTGACCATCATCTTCATCTTGCCGACCATTCGACCAGTGACCGCGGACAACATGAACTACGCCATTGCCTTCTTGATCTTCATCTTGGTCTGCGCCATTGTCTACTGGTACATCAGTGGCAAGAAGTTCTACACCGGACCCATCGTCGAAGCGGAGATTGAGGACGAGGAAGTCGACAGTTCGACCTCTGGAGCGGACCAGGACAAGAAGGAAGGTGAGTTGAGAGATCGGACGCCGAACGCGACTCAATCGCCTGCTTGAGTCCATGACAAGGGTGGACGCCATTCCTAGGGCATATCCGTTGCAACAGGAAATTGTTTTGGATAAGGGGTGACGGCACATTTTGGACTTGGACTGGGATCTGGTAATATCATGACCTCGTGCTTGCCGTTTCGGTCTATCTGCTGTAGTAATCAAGCGGTGTTGAAGTCGTGTTGAAGCCGTATTCAGTCTCTGCAGCAACAGGAACCCGAATCATTGAATGACCTTGAACATCTCTGTGGCTTGGATAATCGCTCTCCTGAAGTAATGAAGCCGTGGTTCATAGTCTACAGCACAGGGGACCCAGACCATTACTTTGCGCAATTCTCTGTAGCCAGGATCATAGCTCTTCTAGAGTAATGAAGCCGTGATTCATAGTCTACAGCACAGGGAACCCCAACCATCACCTTGAACATCTCTATAGTCATCATCGTCGCTCTCTCAGAGGGTTGCGAGCCCGCCACGAGCAACTTTCATCCCGTTCACCAATTCCAATTCGTGCTGATTTTGGGCCCAAGTCACCGATGTGCTCAGGCCGCACCAATTACAGTAAGTATGTAGCCCGACCCAGAGCTTCGGTTGATCTATGTATGTATGTATGTATGTATGTATGTATGTATGTATCACGAATGATCAATAGCAACGAATCTTTTGCCTTCTTCCTCATCCGAGTCCTACTGTGTCGAGACGAGTCGAGACCCGGGATGAATACTCCGTACGCGATGCTCATCGACACGGTAGTTATAAGGAGGAGGCAGGAGGCAGGATTTTTGTTGAGAGGTGACCAAAAAAAATCTCTCCGTGCACGGTGCACGGTCGGTGTGCGCAGTACTTATACATAGCGGGTACCACAGGAAATGGAGAGGCGAGGCGAGGCGAGGCTGGGTGTCGGGGGCCTCCCTCACCTCCTTTGTTCTCGATACACAGTACACAGTACGAGGTACTCCGTACAGTACTCTGTACTCCGTAGATATCCTCATGGTTCGGTTCGGGAACTCGGATCCGTAACACCGTGCGCAGGAGCGGCGGATATACGACATTGTACTCCGTACATACCCCCAGCGCTCAGCCATGGCGTGGAAAACTCTGCGTTGTTATCTACCTACCTATGGCTCACTATGTGCACCGACTGTGTTACTCGTACGAACAGGGCTGTACGGCCTATGGAGCAGAAGGGATGACTGTAGCTCGTAAGGTTGGACGGATCAGAGGGCGAACCGAGCGCAATGAGCGCAGCGAGCGCACAGAGCTTGCTTCCGAAGTCTTGCTCGCTGATTCTATTTCTATTGTTATTGTCAGTGTTGCTGTCGTCGTTAGTCGCGTTCGACGCCGCAGTACTTCGTAGTCCGATCTGGGTCCTGAAATTCTTCCACACAGGATCTTGACGGGAAATCCTATAGTACAGCACAGCTCGCTTGCTCTATTTCTGGTACTCTGTACATACATAGGATCGCCAGACCCACAAGGACTCGCTCGTCGACTTTGGGGTTGTTAACTGTGCACTGGCCGCACGAGTACTCGTATATGGTGGATGAAACCCCCTCCGCCCTCCCAACCTCATTGTCCACGTTGATCGCTACAGTGGATCTTGCTTCAACAGTTTTCCCACGTGGACCTGAACCCGGACCAAGACCGGAGCTCTGACGATGGTGAATGATCGTCCTTCGCTCGCGGCCGTATCGATACACCAAGCCAGCCCCTTTTGTAAAAAGCAGCCGTGGAGGCAGCTCTCATGTCGCTGCTGGACTTTTGACTCTTCGGCTGTGAGCCGTGACTCGTCCTTGATGGCGCGGGAGTCGCGTGTAAGAAAAGCGTGACGCCATGCTGCCCGAAAGATGAAGGTCTCTCGTTCTTGCCGGTTCTGTAAGGCTTGTATTGAGCGTGGCTGCCGGTTGAGATCAATGTCTTCACATGTTCCACTCTGTCAGTGCTGTCGAGAGTGGCTGGCGCTTTTCTCGACTCAAAACTCTCGCGCTCTCAGCGCTTCTGTTGAATCTCGATGGGTATAAAGGGGAGATCCTGCTGCTCTGGTGGACTTCGGGGTTCCGGTTCCCGCCATGCTCAGCTCGGGTGTTGATATTGTACACGGTCAACTTCTCTAACGAGACGTGACCCATCAGCCACTGAAGGGTATCGGTCGTTCAGGCCAACGAGGCGCCTAACACAACCACCGGAGGTAGTGCAACCCGCCCGCGTGTCGAAGAGCACCCGCTAACATCGCACTGCACAGACTGAGACCGCGCCCGCATCAAAATGTATTGCCTCGCCGTCCTCGTCGGCGTCATTGGCTTTGTCTCAGCCTTACCCACACGAATCATCGCGACAGGCCAAACAGCCATTGGAGGAGTGTTTACTCCTTCACTAGAGGCAGCGGATCCTGCGCTCGACGCCGTCGTAAGAATACCACAACAACCTGCACCTTTCCCGACGGGCACGCCCTTCCGACCGAAGAGCCAACTTGAGGCGCCCTCTAGCGGCATGGCGGCGCCCTACCGCAACATCACAGCTGTGCGGCCTCACGCCAACAAGGTGTCGTTGAAAGATCTGCACACCCGCCAGGACAACTCGTCCTCGCCCTCCTCAACTTCCTCCAACGCAGGATCCGCTCTTGTTTACAACGCCTGCACCTTCACCGTGCAGAGCAACATCGTGCATGCGCCCCGCGCAGGGGAGGCCGGTGCGCCAGAGGAGATTACAGGCGCTATTGCTCCAGGCGAGACGTTCTCGCATCCTTTCTCCCATGACCCAAACATGGGCATCAGTTGGAAGATCTGGCGCACCGATGGCGACAACAACAATCCCGTCCAGTTCGAGTACGCGTGGACGCCCGACACGGCGCGCATCTGGTATGACATGAGCATGATCAACGCCGGAGAGATCGAGTGGCTGGAGCCCGACAGCCACGAGGGGGAGACCATCGAGGACGGGGCCAACAACGACGGCACCGGCGACTTAACCGGGAAGGTTGCCGTGGAGCATCCGTTTGGCGGGGATGACGAGGGCATGAGGCTCGATCCACAGGGCGGTGGTGACTGCGATCCAGTCGTCTGTCCCGCCGGAGAGCAGTATTGCCTAAAGGCATACAATACTGACACCGACGACCAGGCAATGAGGGACTGCGCGGAGTCTGCGGACCTGAGATTGACGTTGTGTGGTTGAGACGGGAGTGCGCGTAGATGGCGGGTGTCGAGTCAGGAGCCCTTAGGACGTTGCCGTATATTGGCATAGGTTGTGATTAGAGCGTTTCCTGTCCAGCGCTGTCTGTTGTGAGCGGCGCCGATGCACGTCGCTTTAGATCGGTGCTGGGAGTAGGTTTCGTGGACGATAAGGCACTGGATCTGGATAGACACATGGCTGGGCGGATTTGTTATGACTTTGCAAGGTTGAGATCTGCTCGGGCTGACATTCGGCTCAAAGGACAGAGGTGGATGGATTGATGATCGACGGCGTTGGTGGCAGTGCGTGGTTTGCAGCACACCAGGCGTGGGCGTTCGACGTAGACTGGCCAGACGTGATGTTGTGATACCTCTAGATCTGGACTCCCTCAGAATAGAGCAATACCATCAAAGCGCGTGCTGGCTGCCTCTTTTCCACGTGCGCCTGTGCTCCGCCGTTACCCTTGCCCATCAGATCGATGGCATGAGCTCGGAAGGTATCTGCCCTGGAGCCATGTTGTCTGCATGTTTCCATGCGTTTGGCATTGGGCCCATATGTTCCCCATGCCTGCATGCCTGCGTGCCTGCTTGCCCTCACACGTGCGCTCTCCCTCGCGGCTTCACCCATCCTTGCCCAACTTTTTCCGAAACACTTTCCGCTCCACCTCCCTGATCTTCTCCTTCTCCTCCATCTCGCGCTCAATCTCGCGGACCCGCGCCTCCCTCTCCTCCAGCCTATGCTTCACCGCCGCGGCAGTCTCGTCGCGCAAGCGCGCAATCTCCTCCCTCTCGCGATCACTCAGTGCTCCACCGTGGTGGCCGCCGCCGCCGTGCGCCGTGGTCCCCGCGGCCGCGAAGATCTGCGCCCGCAGCTTCGCGAACCCGTACTTGGAAAGCTCGGCCTCCGTGAACGGCTGCAGTGTGATGGGATTGGTGTCCGTCGCGCTGCCGGAGAGTGCTGTTTCGGGCACCTTCACCGAGGGCAGCGAGGGATGGATGGGCGTCGTGCGCAGGGGTGAATCCAGCGGGACGGGCCCGGCAGGCTCGGTCGGCCCTGCGGTGGTGGTTGTGGCAGTGGTGGTGGTGGTGGCAGGAATGGCTTTGGGCGATGCCTCGGGCGTGGGTGGTGCGCCTGCTGGGTCGGTAGCGCTGTTCGGGACGCGTGTTGCAGTGGGAGCAGCAGAGGTCATTAGGGTATCGCCGTCGGGGTCGCTGGCGGGGTTGCCGTCACGTGTACTCGTCGCGGCTGGCTGGGTCGAGGTCGAGGGTCCGGCTGTTGCACCGGTGGATCGGTCGGCGGTGCCGTCGAGGGCTAGACCTGGCGGAGGTGCTTGCGACACGTCTTCTGCCATAGATGTGTCAAGAGTTGAAAGAGTATGAATTGTGGTTGAGCGTGCGGAGTACTTGATATTTCCAAGAAACGACAATCAATTGAGACGTTTCTCCAACTTGAGTTTACGTTTAGTTGCCGCTTCCATCACCGTAGTGGCTACGGCGAGTCTTATGCTGCAGAGGCGAAAGCATAGTACATGCACAAGCAGGGGATTCTTCTACCTTCATTCATCGTCTCTGGTTGTGCCTCGGACTCTCTCTGATGAGACGCAACAGAAACCTGCGCAATGATCAGGCGTGTACAGTGACGAACTGTCCAATTCCCGGCACACCATTTGCAACAACATACACCACGTACGGTCCTGGTGCAAGCTTGAGGCCCTCTGGCATATACACCTCAACTCTCTTCCGACCAGTGGGCAATGTCTCCCAGCCACGGTGGACAAGGTAGACCATCACCTGTCCCATGTGAACGGAATGGGTAACAAATCCACCAGCATAGAGGATGACGTCCAATGTGGATAGCCCCTCTTCCATGTCAAAACCGATTGTGAACCTCGAATTGATCTCGAGCTCGAGCCTTGAGAGCCTGATATCCTTCGGCCGCCGAGATGCACTATCACCACGCAAGTATGGTGGAGTCCAAATCTCAATTCTGAATTCAGTTGGAAATGCCTTGTCCTGGTTGTATGATTCCACTTGACTCAAAGTGACTGGCATCTCATTTGGGTTGCTCCCAGCGACGAGGACTGTTCCATCCAGTAGCAGCAATGCAACCGAGTGGTAGAGTCTCGCAATATTGCTCTGACCAGATGGCGTCCATTGATCTGAGCACGGATCGTAAATCATCGCCTCCAACGCGGGCTTTGTCGCCAATCCGAACCCTTGTGCGCCTCTTTGGCAACCATTGATCCAAAGCACTGTTCCATCAAGCAGCAATACACCTTCTACCATACCTCGAGGCTCTGGCATCTCGGTCATTTCCCAGCGAGGCTCCCGACTCATCGGCCTCAGTCTGCCACAGCTTGCATCACATAGACTGTCAATGAGTTGTGACATGCCCCCACCACAAATCATGACCTCTGGCTCATAGTTATTGCCTCTGTGCAGCGGAAGCATCACGCTTCCGCCTGTGTTGGGGTATGTTCTGTGCATTCCTGGCATATTTGGCATCTTCTTGATGGTCTCGCTGGCAACCACATCGAAGAGCTCTGACGAGGTGTCCGAGAAGATGAATAGCGAGCCATCGGGCATCAAGTGGAGGAAAGGGTACATCTAGTACGGCATGGTATCGACCAAGATGTCCATGAGTATATTTTCACCATTGCTGACTCCATTTTCATCCAGTATCTCGAATGTCGGGTTGTTGTTGCTGAAATTTGACGGATCCAGGCCGTTTAAGCTGCCTGCGGCAACGAACATCTTGCCGTCCGCCAGTGTCTGTGCGGATGCATACCATCTGTTTGAAGCCAACTTGTTTCCTGGCTCTTCCCAGCCGTAGGTCTCATTCTGATTGCCGAGATACCGAATTGCATCGAAGCCATCTTGAACCGTCGGATCGAGCCAGAGCAGAGGTGCGTTTCCACCCACAGTCACCAGTCGCCCATCGCCCAGAAACGATCCGCCACAGCAGAATGGGTTTGTGGCGACAGGCAGAGAAGTCAGGCTATGGGTTTCGGGATCGTACAAGGAGGAATATGCGTAACGATTGTTGGGCAACCGGAGTTCCGAGTAGTCTTCAACTTTGTCCAGAAACAGAACTTTGCCTGAGGGTGGTATGACGGCGGCATGCATTGCAGGTACACCAGAGGAGGCCACCACATTAAAATAAGAGCAATTGATGTCCATCGCTAAGATAAATGTGTAACACGATCTGGCGATAGTGTAAAAGTTGAATGACCGAGAGGTCCGAGGGAGAGACGGCGCAGGTAGGTTTGGCGTGGGAAATGATGGATGCGGCTTCCACCTTCATCACGCCTCCCTCCAAACATCCCATAGTCCAGTCAGGTTGCCGCTTCGGTCTTTGATCACTTCGATGACCTGCTCTTGAGATCCTTTGCTAGACTTGTCGCTAGTAATTCGTCCCAGCCCATCATGCACAGCGACGATACGATCCAAGCTGGCTGCCAGCGTCTTCGCCAGCGTCTCATGACACGATGCTACCCTCAGAGTCTCTCCCATTGGACCCAAAAAGCTAGAATCCAACGCCATGGTCCTGGTTGTTCTGGATCGAACTACGTCTTGCTTCTGCTGCATGTCATCTGCTTCCTCCCTCTCAACCAGAAACTCCACTATGACCAAATTGTCGCCCGACGATCTGGAGAGCTGCGTGATATTTCGGCCCAGACTTGCCAGTAAGGCGTTCGCTTGCAAGAGGTTGCTTCGTCGATAGGTGGCAGAGACCGTCGGGCATAGCCCTTGAATAAGGACAAGATTGTGGAAAATGCCGGTTTCGCATCGTCTTTGGTGTTTCTGGGAGTCTCGGTACACACCGTCGCTGACTTCAGCAACGCTTTCCGCTATTCCAGCTAGGTCGAAGTACTGCAGTAGCCGCACCGTCTTCAGAAGCTCGATGGCAGCTTGTGAGTCAGATATTATGTTAGCCAGAAGAGCATGGAGCATCGGTACTGTCTGAAGAGCATGAGGAGCGATTATGTAAACGTTCGGCAGGGTGTCGGGTCCTGGCGCTCTGGCATTGGAGCTGAGAAGGGCTGTCGCGAGTACGTGTAGAGGAAGTGATCTCTATGGCACCCAGTGGGAGTTAGTTTGGAAATCGCTTGGGACAATTCATCGCTGTGCCTAGTCTGCCAAGAGGTGGAAACAGCTCAAGGGATGGCAGCAAACCTGGTTCATGACAGACTCACTTTTCCTGGCGTTGCTCCGTCGACTTCTCCCAACGACCCAACACCAACGACATGCCCACCAGCCCAAACAGAGCCAAATCTCTTGTCAAGGCCGGGCAGAAAGATACCCTTGGGATGAGTCACCGGCAAAATATGGCTAGAGGCTGCTTGTCGATCGAGGCTACTTTCACCCTCGAGCTCTAGAAGCATTGATGCCTTGATGGGCTCAAGCATGGTTCCCGAGTCTGCCTGTTCAGTTATCCTGGCACATTAGTCCTGAAAAAGAGGCTCGGCCGGCTGTCTTCCAGAAGATGCGATGGCCCAAACGCGTTCTGTATGTGTCAAAGCGACGATCTTGAGGGCATAACTCCAATTCTCAACAGGTCGTGTGTTGTTGTACTCCGAATTCAACAGCACGTTTTGTGTCCCGAACATCAGATTGGGGATTCTGTCGATCTATTTACATTCAATCACAGGTCTTCATCTCCATTGATTCTCACTAATTACTGACAAGTCGAGTTGCTATGAACTGTTTAGAGAATTACAAGTGTGCATCTCTGTGGTCCACATCCAAGTCATGGTCTTTCTCCGCTCATTCGCGAAATCCTTCAGTCGAGGTGTAGGTGTTAGGTGACCACCAAGAAATGCATAAGCACCTAGCCTCGGACTGGCAAGAGCAGTGACCATTATCAAGCTGAAGTATGCCATCCACCATGCCTTTGTTCACCACGCAGCACCAGCTGCGGCACTAGCACCGTCGCCAGCACCCCAAGCATCGCCCGCGGCCATGTCAGCATTCGGCGCAGCAGTAGCGTCACCACCGTCCCAAGCATCATCGCCAGCACCTGTATCTGCAGCAACTTCGTCGAAGTCTGGATCCTCCTCTTCATCGAAGTTCAGAGTACCGCCTTCGGGCTTGAAGTGTTGAAGGAACTCGGGGACGTCTTGGTGGGTTTCCAGTAGAATCTTGGTGAGGAAAGGGCCAAGAGCATCGTCTTTCTCATTGTAAAAAGACGTTGCAAGACCTTCATTCCCGATTCGTGCAGTGCGACCTGCTCGTCGTCAGTGTGAATACAAACAGTTCAAGGAGGCATCATACCGATTCGATGAACGTACTCGTTCTTGCCATCATGATCAGCAGCCGGAAGATCGAAATTGATCACATGCATCACGTTGCTGGAGAGCTTATCAGTGGTGCATTTCGTGTCGTGGACCGGCTCATGCTTACCGAACATCAAGACCACGAGCGGTGACACCAGTGGCGACCAGGATAGGCTGCACACCAGACTTGAATGAACGTAGGGCGTCTTCGCGTTCACTCTGTGTGCGGTCTGAATGAATTGAGGTCGACGGCAGTCCAAGATTGTACAGATAGTCGTCAACAAAATCTGCGGTCTTCTTGAACTTGACAAAGATCAAGGTACGAGACGGGGGCATGGAGAGGAGAAGGTCATAGAGTGCCTTCATCTTCTTGTCTTGGTCACACCACATAATCTGACTCTGGTCAGCAGGGCAATCGACGACTTGAGAAAGTGAGACGTACGTTCTGTTTGACGTTGATATGAACACTCCCAGTCCGACCGATACTAACATGGACGTAGTCAGATGCTAGATATCGTGCAGCCAACTTCTTCAACCGCTTGGGGAAAGTTGCGGAAAACAGAAGATATCGATGATCACCATCAGTATTTGCATCTGTGAGAATGTCAGTGAACCAAACACAAAGATATAGGAGCAAGGTACTGACCACCACCATCCATGATCTTGCTCATTTCTTCATTCCAATCCTCGTGAAGCATTTCGTCAGCTTCGTCAATGATGGTGAAGCGGAGACGGGCGAGAGAGAGGAGTTCTGGACGGCCCATGAAGTCGATCAAGCGACCGGGAGAAGCAATGAGAATGTCGCAGCCGCGCTCAAGTTGAGCCGCTTGTTCGCGAACAGGGGCACCACCATACGCAACGCAGGGGCGAAGCATCGAGCGGTAGCATAGGCGCCGTGCTTCATCGAAGATCTGGCAGCACAACTCACGAGTTGGTGCGACAATGAGGACCAGAGGTTCAGCTCGGACTCGATCGCGGTTTGGATCGAAGTTCAGACCGGGGCGAGGCGCAGCCAATTTCTTGACTTTACCCATAAGCTTGGAGATGACAGGAATCAACATGGCGCCAGTCTTGCCGGAGCCTACGTTGTGGTCAATAAAGAGTCAGAATAGATCTCCTAGAATTAAGACTTACCAGTCTGTGCGACGCCAATCATGTCATGATTAGTGATTACAGAAGGAATGGCGTAGGCTTGGATAGGTGTTGGGAGCTTGTAGCCACACAACTTGATGTTCTCAAGCACAACAGGGTGCAGACCGGCATCCTCCCACTGTTCAAGATATGAGTTTGAAGAAAGCGGGAGGTAAGTGGAAACACTTACATTAGAGATGGGCTTCAGACGGGTCTTGCATTCGACAGCAACTTCCACGGTGGCGTAACTGGAGATGTCAGCAGGGATTCGGTAGAAGGTAGGAAAAAGGACTCGCTTCTCGATCTTCGCTCCAGCACGATTGATGTACTCGCCATGGAACAGCTCCTTTTCAAGTTTCTCATCACGAGGACCAACATCACCAAACTCCTCCGACCACTCATACTTGGCAGCATCGTGCGACCAATTGCTGGTGTGGTATCTAGACTTGGGAGTGTCCTCTACTCCTTCGGCTTCAGCTGCTGGCGCTGCGTCAGGTTGAGCTTCAGACTCGTCTCCATTGAGGGCGTTGACTGGGACTTTGGAGGTGTAATTGTGAGCTATGGGCAGGACCCAACCAGCATCACGAGCAGCCTTCAATGCTTCCTCATTCTTAGGTGGACCAGCAGGTGTTGCAGTGCCGTTAGCAGGTGGAGTGACATCCGCGAGGGCCGATCTCAAGGTTTCTGTTTCCCAGGCCGGATCAGCGGTGTCAGTGGGTGCAGGGGCTGTTCCCCAGCTATCAGCCATGATCACTGATGACTGCTGGTGAACCAAAAAGAAAGGACTTTGAAAGAGGAACGGGAGGTAAGGAAAGTTGTCGGGGTGTGATCAATGAGAAGGGGAAGAAGAGGTGGTGAGGTGGAAAAGAAGATGATATTTGTGCCCTAAGCTGCCTCACCACCTTGCCGAGAATCGGGGGACATGCAAATGCACAGCAAGACGGTGACGTATACTCCGCCTTGATGAGGATGATTGGCTCTTTGAATGAGGAGAATGGTCGCGGAGGTGGTGAGTGAAAGTTGAATGAGGACGTGGTCGGTCGCGGAGGTGGCAATGAAAGGCAGGTGAGGGTTGATCAGTTCAGAGAGGCTCAAGTGAGCTTGGGGTTATGCTCAAGTCAGAAGTCTGTCTTTGGTTCCGGGCACAGCACCGAGCATGCCAGAGAGAATAATCAACTCTGAAGAACACTCAGAACTATACACAATGACCTGGCTCCCAGGCCTTCCCTGTATGGTCATTGTCTTCCCGAGCCTTCAGACCTGACTTGTAGCGCACAAGTCTCTCCTGAATGGGCCTTTCATTCTTTGTTGGGGGATTGCTAAGTCCTCCCTCCCCCAGTCGAGATCAGGGAACAGCAGTGCTGATTTTGCACAGACGTAGCGCGTCCTTCAGGATGTCTGTCTCAACCCCAAGCCCACGTCGGCGCTCTGTCTTGGTATCATCCTGCATTCTTCGAATGTTGCCCCGAGGACAAAGGCATCCTGCAATTTCGCTCCCGTCAGACCCCACACAAGTACCTAGGTACTCACACAATGGTCTGAGATTGGAGACCAAGAGCAAGAGATGGAGGTAGCTGAGCAATGTTGGGGAAGGACACATCAGGTTCGGCTCCCAGCCATGAGCGCATCGTCAATCTCAAACGTTGACACTGGCTATTCTCGACTTCTCTCCGACGAACAAGTCCCTGGCTTGATATAGCTAGCACAGGCAACAATCCTGCCCTGTTTGAGGATGATATCGAGATCCAATGGACTTCCAGCGGTCACTTCCAGAAAGATCCAGAGATTGGATACTGTTTTGTTGGGTTAAATCATGAGGAGCTGGCTTGTACTGGGTACTGGGTTGGAGGGCGGCCACTGTCAGGGCTGACGACGGTAGGGGCTTCTAGCACAGGAATCCAGGGACAGACCACTGCTTTCGAAGCACTCTACCTGTCAGTATCCACCGAGGTGCCGGCAGGACCAATCCAGAACCACAGCATCATACACAACAAGCACAGTGGATTTGCGCCTTTTGGGGAGTGGCTCTGACGCCGTATATGAAGCAGGTTCAAGAGCGGTGAAAACGTGAGCTCAAGAGGTGGACATATCCTCACAAAGCTTGATTTGATGACCTGGCATGTCGCAGTACTGGCTGCCTCATCAGCGAGACCACTCAAGTACTGTGATAGGAGTTGGTTTGTCTCTGACACCCTCAACGCCAACGATGGGATGGAAAGCGGCAATCGCTCGGCCCGTCTGTAGGAGCAAAGAGAGCTGGACAAGCGCAACCTTCTCATATCTGCCCTAGCTGCTCCATTGTGTCCAGCTTCGGGGTCGTTCTACCATAGGGTGCTATGGTGAGAGCAAAAACCATGCTGTTATTGGTGCCGATACAGGAGGCATCGCCTTACTCGTGGAGCGGTTTCAAATGTGTTGTATCCTCAACTCTTGGGAAGCTCGCCGGCGCTTGCCAGGTACGTGTACTCCACGTTTGCGGCGACTTCGATATTCGAAAGGCAACTTTCCGTGCCCTAGAGTGCCTCAAGATTTCACCCAAGAGCTCAGGGATATAATCCAGATGCGGAGAATGAACAATATTGCTTGGTGTCTGTTCTAGACATCCAGAGATTGCTGACTTCTCGGATTGCGCCGGGACAGAACTGGCTTTCAGTCTACTGTGTACAGGGACGGTCAGCCTCCAGGATGTTTTGCGCTCAACGTGGATCGGCATCAGCCGAAAGCAATTGATGCGTATTTTGCACTACCACGCATGTGCCTACTTCAAGATGTAAGTGCGCCCAACGAGTGGCGCCTTGAGACCCTACCAGGCGATGTACAGGAGCACGAGAGCTATGCGCCCGATTACCAGCTTACCGTTGATATTGGAGCAAATATCTTAATCCTCAATGTGGACAGGTATCCAGCAGCAGGGGGCAACTCAGGATTTAGTGGCCAGATCACCGCCTATCAGATAACGATAGCTTAAGCCACTGCCATTATTGGATATCATAGAATGAGGCTGGTGGCACAAGTAGCACCGGCTTCGAGTAGACAGACACTACCCCGTCTCGCCCGTACGGCCTGAACGTGACTTTCCAGTATTAGCACTTCGGCGTATGAAAGTATGATCCGCAGTAGCAGGCTAGTCCGGAACATTTAGCCCTCTAGCGCGCACGAAAATATCTCTTGGCGTGCGACCTGCGCATTTTGCAGCCCACCTTGGACATCACCGACAACGAGTACGCTCGTCTCCCCAGTCTAACTCACCCTCCTTGCCCGACGCCGCCAAAATGACTACCCAACAGGGCGCTATCAGCAAGCGTCGCAAGTTCGTCGCTGACGGTGTTTTCTATGCCGAACTGAACGAGTTCTTCCAGCGCGAACTCGCCGAGGAGGGCTACTCTGGTGTCGAAGTCAGAGTTACTCCTACTGTCACCGATATCAGTACGACTCCCACTCCTCCATACCCAGAGTTAAATAGGCAAAGAAGCGCTTCTCCGAAAGACTTCAAGGATAATTGGAAAACTAACTCGAGATCGCCACAGTCATCCGCGCAACACACACCCAAGAAGTCCTGGGCGAACAAGGCCGCCGCATCCGCGAACTCACATCCCTGATCCAGAAGCGGTTCAAGTTTCCCGAGAACAGTGTCTCCTTGTATGCCGCCAAGGTGCAGAATCGCGGTCTCTCAGCCGTCGCTCAGTGCGAGTCCCTCAGATATAAGCTTCTCAATGGATTGGCCGTGAGACGTGCTTGCTACGGTGTGTTGAGATTCATCATGGAGAGTGGTGCCAAGGGCTGCGAGGTCGTTGTCTCTGGAAAGCTGAGGGCTGCGAGAGCGAAGAGCATGAAATTTACAGTAAGATTATGCCGTCCCACGAATTTTTGTCTTCAGGATCCATACTGACTCGGTGCGCGCAGGACGGCTTCATGATCCACTCCGGCCAGCCTGTCAACGACTTCATCGACAGTGCAACCCGCCACGTCCTCCTCCGCCAGGGTGTTCTGGGCATCAAAGTCAAGATCATGCGCGGCTCGGATCCCGAAGGCAAAGCCGGCCCCCAGAAATCCCTGCCCGACTCCGTCACAATCATCGATCCCAAGGAAGAACAGCCCGTCGTGCAGCCCATGTCTCAAGACTATGGTGCCAAGGCTCTGGCTGCCCAGCAGGCTGCCCAGGACGCGAGGGCGCAGGAAGAGGCTGGTGGCCAGACCGATGGTGCGGGCGAAGATCAGTTCAACGGAGCACAGGAGTAGGAATCTGGCATCGGTGGTGCTAATTCAACTGCGGCCGGGGTGGGTTTCGCTGCTAGCGGCTTCGACGGTGCACGTGAGCCTCAGCGTGCTATGCCTACCTACGATGCTGCTGGGGCGGACCACTGGGTCAATGGCGGCTTTTAGCTGGTAGTTCAGCATAAGCGAACAACCTGCAGACGGGGTTTGAGGAAAACAGGTGTACACCCAATGAACCGGGCGAATGCTGAATCATGTCTCTGAGCAGGCGCCGTCGACCGTAGCCATCGCAAAAGCGTTGAACAATGAAGATGAACCGTGCATCAAGTTTCTATTTTCTACTGGCCTTGCTCTGGGCGATCCCCACCACGACATCTGTTCTTCACAGGAAAACCTCAACATTGAATTCCAGCGTACTGACCGGATACTTTAACTCGAACTTCTCCAGCACAGTCGGATGCAAGATGCCGAAACTCCCGATCACCACATCCTTGCCCGCAATCCTAACATGAATGCTGGCCCCATGACCTGGGAAATACGTCGCATCATCGAGCTCTTCAATCCAGTATTCCATTTTGTTCCCGTTGCCACGGATCTCAAGTCCTTCCTCGTGGGTGATGAAAGCGGCTTTCAGCATGGTCATTACCCTGTCGAGAAGGCCGTGGACGACCTCGAAGCCGGACGTTTTGCCGTACCACGCCGCGGCGAAGTGTCGCTCGTTGCGTGCTTTGCGTTCCAGACTAGGGTCTTTGAACGCGACGTCACTGACTTCGAAGATCTTGATGGGGATGGAGTGGTGCTTGTTCTCTCTTATTGTCTTCAACAGCCCAGGTAGCAAGGTAGTCCGCACGACTTGATACTCGGCAGTCTTTGGATTTGCTAGTCGGATGGCTGTTCTACCGTCGTCTTTGCGATTGAGCCACGCGAAGTTCTCGTCGTGGGAGCAGAGGATGAGCGGCAAGACTTCAGCCCAGCCTGCCATGGCGGCTTCGAGGCGGAGAACGTCTGAGAGTTTGTTCACTGCCAGAGGCGCGGCGACTGTTGCGCCAACTTTGGGGAAGGCACGAGGGAGCTTATTGAATCCATAGCCAATACACACATCTTCCATGATATCCGCTTGATGAAGAACATCGGCTCGTGTGACTGGAACATCCACGTCAAGGAGATTCTTGGCTGATTTCGACGGTCGGGCGACATATGACATGCGGTTAAGAAGAGTACAAATTTCCTGAGGTGAGAGGTCAACACCTGTGCAAGCATTGATGTAATCTACCTCCGCAACCGTCGAGCGAGGCGTAAGGTCGGGCACTTGTCTCGACTGACCATTATGGTCGGAAATGATCTGAATGGGTTCGACGGTGAACTGTTCCGCTGTATATTGCGAGAACATAGTCACCATGATGTTCACGACGATTTCTAGCTTCGTCTTATCTGTCGCGGTGACTTCCATGAAGACGTTCTTGGTATCGAGGGTGATCTTGCTGAGGTCACCATTGATGATGGGCGGCAAAGAGCAAACCTTGCGGTTGGAGT